TGCCAGGAACTAAGACCCCACAGGGGACTTACACTGGAGCACTTCATTCCTGAAGGACTGTAGCATAGAAAGGACCCATCCTGGAGCAGTTCTCGAAGAACTGCAGGCCATGAGAAGGACCCATATTGGAGAAGTTCATGAAGGATCACATCCTTTCAGAAGAATTCATGCTGAAGCAAGGGAAGAGTGTAAGGAGCAACGAGCGGCAAGCACTATGTTATAGACTGACTGCAGCTTCCATTCCACATCCCTCTGGGCTGCTTGTAAGGGGGAGGCAGATAAGATAGAAGGGAGGCTGAGCCTTGGAAGAGGTAGGGGTCGAGGAGGCGTTTTTAGTTTTGTTCTTCTTTCTAACTTCCCTACTATTCGTTGGCAATAAATTAAATTAGTCTTCCCCAGGTGGAGTCTGTTTTGCCCATGACAGTAATTGGTGAGTGATCTCCCCCTCCTTATCTTGATCCATGAGATTTTCCATCTTATTTTCTCTCCCCGTCCTGTTGTGAGCAGGAAGTGATAGAGTCACTTGGTAAGATCGTAGTGCATTCAACCCAGCACACTAACAAATATGAAAGGAGCCCATCTAGGACCCACTAGAATAAATTTGTCCAGGTTTACTTAGTTTTCCTTTTATCTTTTATAATCACTACATTTTACAATACCACATGCTCTTAAAGTCCTTTCACTGTACTTATTTCTTCACAATTTATTTGTGAAAAGAAAAGGAGGTATGCCTGGATTATAGACTCTGCACAATAATTTTATGTCATTAAGTGTTTGATTAAACATTTTGATAATAACATGGTTATAAATGCAAGTGGTAGGTAATGATTTGTTGGAGATTTGCATTTGCTTTTGAAGAGTCTTTGTGCTTAAGAACTAGAATTTATCATGCCTTAGCCATTTATAAGTAAAATCATAGTTCACTAACTGCCTTTCCTTCTTTCATTCTTTCTTTTTTTTTGTTCCTTTTTGTTGGTGGTAGTGGATTTTTTTGTTTGTTTTTACAGACCAACTGCAAAATATTGCCTAAATTGACTGTCATGTGGGAATCCAGTATACTCACCTCTGGCCCCAGAAGATATAAAAAATCCCAGTACTAAAACTAAATTTGAATGCAAGGAACTTTGATATTCTCTCAATACTTTTGAAGAACCATACTCTAGAAAATAAAAAATGTTGTGAAGAAGTTCAGATCAACCACAAGTCCTTCACAAAATGTTGGGAGATCTTGTGATGTCATTGTCTGATGTGTTGTCCAAAGTGCCTGTGTTGAGAAGTAGTTTGACAACACGTGCTTCACAGAATCACACCAGGTTAGACTCACTTTGTTCTGCGTTCCACAGTTCCTCTGGAATGTAGCCCTGATTTTCGCTACCATGCCTTTGCCTGTTTTCCAAATTGCCATCCTTTTTCTTGTCAGCTGAAACTTTTCTAGAAACAAAAAGTCCTGTCATTAGAACTTCATTATGATACGAGAACTCTTGGGAACTAGGCTACAGAGAAAAAATTATATGTCTTCTGAAAAAAACAGGTGCAAAATATATCTGAGCCTTCTAAGTAGTTAGCTAGTACAAATCCTGTCCCATATAAGTATTACCTGTGAACTTCTGTTTAGAAACTTTCCATCAGCTGCATTATCAGAAAGCAGGATAAAGTGAGCAATCTTCAGAGTGAAGACTGTTCCAGTTCATAGGTTTTGTAGGAAATTATTTTTGATCTCTAATTCTGAATTACAGGGTATTCAGTGGCCCAGTAATGGAACATCAGTCAGGTCACTTAGGTCAGTTCATTGTTTTTGTGATTCGAGCACCCTCCCCAACTGTAAAAACAAAACATGTTATCTCCCATCATCACAGTTAGCTCCCAAGTAATGTGTCTGTACACTCCAATGTTAATCTTTCATTTCGAAATTAATTTACAAGAGAGTATAACCACTGTGAAGTTGATAGAAATTCCTTAGTTAAAGTTACACATCTCTGAATTTGCAGAATGGTGACCTGCATGGCTGCACAGCAAGAAAAGAGTGCCTTTTTACTTACAACTCCTACGCTAGAAGAGATGCTACTATTCATCTGTTTCTATCATGGACTCCTCTCTGGGATATTCCCAGGTCCATCTTTGCCTAGGTTTCTGGCTTGGCAAGCACAAATTGATGGCAGGGCTGTGACAACCAACTGGTTTGTAGGGGAAGAAGGAAATGTTCTTGGCTAGCAATATTTGTAGAAACTGCTGCATTTACTTTTCCATGTTTAGAGGAATTACTTTGCAAGCCCTTAGAGCTTCAGATGAGCATTACTGATGCATACGTAAATCTGGTGAGCCAGCTATAACTACATGGCTTTTTTAGGAGGTAAGCATGTTAAATACCAGTAATAAACCAGTCATGATTGCTAGAAGACAAGAACCATTGTTTAGAAATACAACTTCCCCATGTTACGTGATATTGCACTATTTTTTCTGATCCTTAGATCTCCACAGACTCAGCCTAGTAGCCAAATTGAAAGCAGCTCCGAAAAAGTGTGGGAGGTACAGAAAGATATCCAGCCAAGTTAAAAATAAATGTGGGAGGGAAAACAATATATCTTTGGTCTCACCACTTCTTCACTACTGCTACCACACAGATAGACAATCATCATTCTTTTTACTGCAGGTAGATTCCCCCCAAGAAAAAGAACACCAAACCTATAAAATCTGTAAGTGACTGTAATCAATTCCTGTGATTTTAATGTCATTGTTTACACATGCTAAAACTTTGCAGAGCTGTCAGCACTGTGTTTCTAAGTCCAAGCCAAGCCATAAAGCCTGGACTCGCACTAGTGGTTAAGTATTTGCTTAAACATTTGCTTAACTTCCGAAGTGCAAGCAATGTTTATGAATTCAGTACGAAAACTCATGTTTAAAGGTAGTGGGAAAACAGGAACTTAAGTGTACTGAGATCTAAAAATACACATTCTGTCATGAAGACAGAATTTTATTTGTCCAGATCAGATTCAAAGACACAGGGGGAAAGTAATGTTATGCCATATTCTGGACCTGTTCATGTTTGAAAGAGAGCACTGTGCCGACTGGTGTAAGTGAGGCAGGGTCCTGAGTAGGACACAGATCCAGCTGTGTCAGTCCCCACTGCTGGGCAGATGCTTCCCTGCATGTTCAGTTGATTTTACTTTAGCAGCGTTGACCCTTGCAGAAAGCTTTTGGCAGAACCATGTCAGAATCCAATCAAAAAGGCTTTGTAAGATTTTATTCATAGCAAAACCAATCTGCAAGTTGTACCTGCTTTGGGCTTCCCATTCCCTGCTGGTTTAGTTCTGCCTTATTTGTATAGCTGCACTTGGTAAAATGACCAGTTTAGCATCACAAACTTGGAAATTATATGGAAGTTTACTGATACAGCATGGCATTATTGGCATCATCTCCTCAGGAAAAAGTAGTATTTATCTGAGTTCCTTATTTTGTTTCCTATTAATAAAGTGCTCTACAAGTGGAAAGATGTCAACAGAGCTTCACAAAAGGCTATTGATGAAGCTAGGTGTTACTGAAGTGTGAGGCAACATTTTGTAAACTCATTAAGAGATGGGGAGTAAAAGTCCTGCAAGCATAGGCAGAATATCAATTTACAATACTTCCTAGAAGCATAGAAAAAAATAACTCCAAATAACCCCAGAGATGTTGCCGTCGGAGCTGCACTGGTGCCAATAAACAGGATCTTAATGCCAACAACCATCAGCTCATGATTTCTAAGATTTTCGAACTCAGTGCAATAATGCACCAAGGGCTTCGTTCTCAAGCACGCCTGACAACCACTTGATTAAGCGTTAGCACTCATCACGGGGGCAGCTTTATTTATTTATTTAATTGTTGTCAGACTAACGCTGACGAACCTTAAAAGAGCTGGGGGGACCGTCTAATTTGTCTGCCAATCCGGCCCAATTAGCTTGTGGCGAGGCTTCTCGCCGGGAGGTCTGAGTTTCCCCTCAACCCCCGCGGCAGCCCCTGCGGAGCTGCTGGGCTAGCAGTGACCCCCTGTGGCGACTGGGGCAATCGCCCGGCACGCTGCCGGCAGCCAGCCCGGTGCAGGCAGGGCTTTTCCCCTCCTTTCCTCCAGGTGCCCTGGGGATACAGCTGATTTTTTAAGGATTTGTTTTGCACATCAGCTTCAGTAGGAGCGCATTATCAGTCTGTGGTTTCTGCGCTTGCCGAATCAGAGAGGCAGCGGTTGTAGGATTTTCACTCTTTTCACCTAGTTTATTCCCCTCACGACAAGACAGATGCTGAGGTGCTGGAGCATGTCCAGAGAAGGGCAACAAAGCTCGTAAAGGGTCTGGACAACAAGTTTTATGAAGAGCAGCTCAGGGAATGGGCGTTACTTAGCCTAATGAAGAGAAGGCTGAGGGGAGACCTTCTTACTCTCTCAACTACCTGAAAAGAGGTTGTAGCGAGGTGGGGATCGGTCTCTTCTCCCAAGTAACAACTGGTAGGACAAGAAGAAACTACGTAAAGTTCCACCAGGGAAGGATTAGATTGGATATTAGGAGCATTTTCTTCACCCAAATTGTTGTTAAGCACTGAAACAGGCTGCCTAGGGAAGTGGTGGAGTCACCATCCCTGGAGGTATTTAAGAGATCTGAGGAGGTGCTTAGGGACATGGCTTAGTGACGGACGTGACATAGCTAGGTTAACAGTTGGACTTGATGATCTTAAAGGTCTTTTCCAACTGAAACGATTCTGTGATTCTATGGTGGGAACAGAGTTCACAACCTGCTGTGAGCTGCAGCCCTCACTTTTCGTCCTTAAGGTCAGTCCCCTTCCCCACATACTGCCCTCCCCACCCCGCCCCGTGCATACACACATGGGCAAGGTCACACACAGCAAGGCAGCACCTGGACATCCTGGGGGTGCTGGGCAATGGGGCACGGAAGGTGGCACATCTGTCTCACCATTCTGCAGCAGCAGCCTGAAAGAGTTCAGTTAAAAGGAAAAATTGGCCCACCTCATTCAGCTTACCTTATTTCATTTTGGTATGTAGATCCTGGGGAGAGAGGGGAAGAGAAGGGGAAAAAAAAAAAAAAAGAAAAAATAAGAATATGTTTGAAATGCAGGAAAATAAAATGTGACCTACTAGGGAACTTCTCTTCGAGCATGCACTGTGTTCTAGCTACCACAGGGGCCCCTCTCCTCCATGTTTACAAAACTGTGCAACTGCTCTGTAGAAGAGCTGACACAGAAGTTGGAAACAAGTCACACAGCACTTCGTACTTCAGGTATGCTTCAACAAAGAATCTCAGCATAGGAACTAAATGTGGCTGAAAGTTAACACACTCCTGAAAAACACAACCCACTTGTAGTTAACATGAAAGGCAAAGTGAATGGGCTACTGATTACTTTGGAACTAATTTTTAGGAGAAATAGCAAGGCAAAAATAAAGAGCGTCTGAACCAAGTGATGGTTAAGAGCAGGATCTGTCTGCTTGTCCTTCCACTTACAGATCTTTGCACTACACCAGAGCTGATGTAACTAGGAGATTTATATCAAAATACTTTTTAATGTATAGAACAGTTGTGAAGATCCACTTACCTTTCTTCTTTAGACAGCAACAGCGTACAACAACCGCAATAATAATGATCAGAAGAATAACACCAACAAGTGAAAGCACAACTGCAAGTACAATAACCCACGTGCTTCCGCTCTCTTCACTGTAATCATTTTCTGTTAAATTAAATGGAGAGACAATGTACTATCAGAGCCTCCAAACATCCTTTTCAGTATATTTACCTTTTCTGTAAAAAAAGTTAACTGCTTGTTGATTATTTGCCAAGGAATCTGTGTTTTTCAAATGACAAACTCTGTGTTTATGGACAATGTCCAAGAATTTAAAATATTTCCAAATGCAAATTCTTTATTGCAGTTGTAACTTTTCTCACAGCTACTTCTCGTCTGAAAAACAACAGGGTTGCAGTCTTCCAACCTAAGTTTTGTAGGTACACTCCAACATCCTCTGGAGACACTTGGGATTGGGGAGAGGGGTTTAGATTCAGTTTAGATGTCCATACTGCAGATATTAAGCATCCTGCCTAGCTGCTCTTTTCAGCAGAGAGAAAATAGGTATTTTGGGTTACGATTCATTTGGCCAAATGTGTATGTGTCCTTCTGGGTTAGACAAACGTCTCTGAAGAAGTGTCCGTTTCTCCTCACAGATCACAGCAATAGTCTCAGGTGACTAGTACAGCTGGAGATCTCTAGCCTGATGAAACTCATTTTGGGATTTCTCTCACTGATTTCAGCAGGTGTTTGATTTTGGAACATACTTGTTGGTACATCTGTTATCCACTTAAAAAGCAATGAAGAGCAAAACAAGTGAAGAGCAGCACTGTTTGGAAGTATGCAGCTACTCATTTTCACTGCTGACATTCTCACAACATCAACTTATTCATTTGTCTTTGTTGTAATCTGCAGAGTTCAGTGAGGTGATTTCAAGATAATTCAGTTAGGGGATCGGTTAGCTCAGGCAGTTGAGCGTGGCGCTAACAACGCCAAGGTCGTGGGTTCAATTCCTGTTCGGTCCCCATGTGTTGCCTGATCTAGTCGAGAGGTGGCGTCCCTGGCGGCAGGGAGGCTGGATTGAAAATGATCTCTAAGGTTCCTTCCAGCTTAGGCCATTCTATGATTTTGCTGAAATTGGTTACTATGACCAAACAGTTTTCCTACAGATCTCCCACACGCACAGAATTTTTAGTATACCCTATATTTCTCATGCAGCCAGATGCACGAGGAAGATGTTAGTTCTGAACATCATGTCATCCTGCCCTTTGGCTTTGAATAAATATTTCAGAAGCATCTCTAATTTAGCTGTCCTTTGAAAAGCAGCCCCAAAGTAATTTTGGCAGCTGTTTGGAAACAGACTTCCAATCCAGATTACAAGTGTGAGACACATCCAAATTTGACAATACCCTTTCTGTTGCACTGGGTTTATGATCATTTCCTCATTAGGGGTGTTAGTTAATGACTATGTTAATGGCCACATTTAGCTGACAAGCTCTGTAAAAGGTATTTCAGCAACACAGGTGACTGAAAGCTGTGCAGTGTCAGGGCTGCATCCCTGTGTGAACCAGTGTTCCTGCTGGTTTACTTATGGCAGAGAATAAAGAAGTAAATCCTTTCTAGCTACAGATTTGCCTGTGCTTGTGTTTGGGGTTTGGAGGTTTCAAACTGCAAAGATATAGGATCAGAAGCTCCTACAAAGTTTGAACCTCTTTTAGGAACCTGCATTCTCCAAAGCTCAGGTCATTATGATTAAGCGATTTGTTCCAGTCTAATCCTTGTGCTCAATCAGCATGTTTTGAATTTCTTCTGACTATTAAGGAAAAGCACTCAGTAACCTGCTACCTAGTAGGTAGTTCTGTAGCCTGTAATCAGATGTGATTACAATTGATTATAAACCTGTTCATAATATTTTTATTGAGAAGTACTGCAACAAATAGTTATATTTTATATATTTTTTAAAAAAAATTATTTCTGTAAGCCATACTATATGGATTTCAAGATGGCTAAAATAAGAAAGACAGCTATTTACCTGTGCAGAAAAGCTTATCTTAGTGTGAAGGAAGGGGCTAAACACACCTGTAGTGGCCCATACTTCCAGGCTGGCTGCCACACTAAGTTATTTCTCTCCCTGTCAGGTTCAGGTTAGGTGCCAAAAGAGGATCTAGAGAGCTGAAGCAACACAAACACTCCTGGAATTTCAGCATTGTAGTTTTTTCCCCAGTTTTGGAGGATCCAGAAAGCAACTGGAGCTGGGGCCAGCAGGTGTGAATTCAGGACCCACGAGCTCAACACACAAGTCAGGGTGAGAGGGAGGGGCACTAAGGCATGAGGGCATGAAAAAATACATCACCTCTTATGGAAAGCTCTGAGACTGAGATTAGTCTAGAGGTGCAGGAAGGTAGGATGGTGGTTGAGCAGGAGATACCTGGCTGAAGAGGGCTCAGATGTTCAGTTGCAGTTCTTGTGAACAGACGGGTATTGCTAGTGTGGAACATGGAGGAATTTGATTCCTTATGCTTTTAAATGAAACTGATATTACGGTAGTTTGGGGGAGGACTCCTTAGATGTTTGAAGTTAGTCATATTCTTTCCTGACAAGAGCTAGCTAAAGCTGAATCTATACAGGAAAAGTCAGAAAATCTCTGAGATTTCAAGTGTGACATATACATTATATATCTTCCTCTGTCATAAATGCCATGCCTTTATGCAGTCTAATAATCTAAAGACTTCATATTCTCATACCGTGACAAATTTTGAGTGTCTGTTGCTGCACAACGATTTTTCCAAAGAGAAATGAATGATGGTCCTATACAGTCACTAATTCTACGTTAATTGTGCTTCATGACATCTGTTTTTCTCCTCTTCTGATTTACAAAAAGTAGCTATGGAAACTGAGGGTGAATACCTCTGTACTTCACAAATGAGTAGGGAGGGGAATTTACTAATTTCCTCGAGATAGTTCTATTTTGCTTAGTCAGTAATTAGGATCAATCTGAGTACAAAAAAAAGTCATATTTAGAATGGTGGAATGACCTTTTTCAACTGCATAACAAAGCAAGTACTTCTGAAAAAGAATTGGTAATAATGACTCATACTTAAAATAAAAGGCATAGTTACTCAACCTCCCTAGTTGTTGATATGTCAAAATTTCTATACCAAACCCCTCATCAATCCACTATAAGATTGTCTTTGTATGTGCCGCATTCACCCATTACAGAAGAATCAGTTCATCAAGAGAAGCTGTCGGCATGATTATAAAAGCTCATGATGCTCATCACGTGGTAAAAAAAAAAAAAAAAATTAGATTCAAGGCCCTACTCTATAGAGGAGACAACTGGGGGTGCATAGACCTATCAAAAAAAAAATCCATATGATCTATGCATTTCCCATACCACAGGATAAAGCTAATAAAAGGGATGTCACTGTAGGGTGGAATATGTTACCATAGGAAGCAACCCAGCAACCTCAGCTCCCTGCTTCAGATTTAGTCTGCCATGAGATTCCTCTACCTGACAGCTGAGAAACTTGGCTAAGAGAAATGCGAAGGACAGTTCCGTGCTGTCTCCCTCACCTGCACTAAACATTGCTAACCTACAGGGAGATACTTCCTCTTCCTTACTCATATTGTGTTATGGTTTGTAAAATAAAAACATTTTTCACAGGACTGCACTAGATCATGAGGCAGATCAGTAATGACAGTCACACTTGCTTTGATCCACACTGGCAGCAGCACAGAGTAGACAAAGTCAACCTCTTCCTGATGAATCTCCTAGTACTGTGAAAGTGTTAAATTACAGAATTTTATTTTCATAGGATGTCAGTAAGGCCAAAGATCAGCAGCATTACAGAATATGCTGACAACTTCAGTGAAAATATTTAGGGTTATCAAAGGTCTTGTTAACTATTCTGAGAGATTTGTCGAACCTCCATGCTTAGATTAAAGCAACCTTGACTTTCCTTAAACAAAAGGCAATAAAAAGCAACCAAACACACCATCCAAAGAATTCCACATATGTTGCTACAGGACATTTTTAACTTCCTCTAAGATGTGAAAGACACCATGCTGGGAAGAAGAAACCAGTTCCAATGGCTCTTCGATCTAAGCAAACTTTGGGATAAGGCTTGTGAATATGCAGCTTCTTTCGATGACCTGATTCTTGTTCTGTAATGGGTGAATACACCATATATAGAGACTTTCTTAAGGCAGATTAATAGGTATATGGTATAGAACTGCCTATATAAAAAGCTGCCGTCTCTATTAGGTGCCAGCCTCAGTGCAGCCCTGCAGATGTTACCATCACATCTGGTTACCACTCACATGAAGAACTTTCTTTTTGCACCTGAAGTGCTAGTACAGAATCTCTTCTGGGTTGTGTGCAGAAACTGGGTGTAAAATCTGGTGTTTTCTTCCAAGTCAGTGGTAAAACTGGCATTGGATATTTTGAAGAACAATTTCATCTGAGGGTCTGGGCTTTGAATAAATGAGGTCTAACAAATTATGTTAATATGGTAGGCATGGCCTATTCAAGGATATAAATTCATTAGATATTTACTTGGTCAAGGAGCTTTTCTTAGCCGTGAATCCATAGTAGGAATCAGTGGCAGATGTACTGCTTCGTTTGTCTTGCTCAGTTCTATGTTGACTTTATGGTTCATTATACTTGTACCAGTCCCCTCACACACGTGAATGTATCAAGCTGTGACTACAAGGTCTTAACTCTATCACCTTGACACATCTCATAGTATTTCATTTGCAAAGACAAGACTTTTCAAAATAAACAAAAGCAAAACTAAACAAAAAGCACAGTTCTGAGTATAAGCAGTACAGACACTACAATAGACGCAAAGTACAACAAACATTCACTTACCTACAGTAGAGTTGACAAAAATAACAGTTACAGTTGCATTCTGAGGGTAAGGGAGTTCTTCTATGTCAGCTAAACAAGTCAAAATCTCAGTGGTTGTCGGAGTCAAAGTTAGGGTGCTGAGGGCGTTGTGGAGGCCATTAGATCCTTGACTTTGCTGGGTGACATACCATGACTTATCAATGAAAGAGTCATTTGTCATCCAGGTAATGTCTGGAGCTGGAGCCCATCCTAAGGCTTCACAAACAATTTCAATTGTTTTGTTCTCTTTTACTGTTAAGGTGCTATTTTTGATGAATAAAGATCCATTAACTGTAGGAGGGAAAAGATGTTTTTTCCTTCAGAATATTTGGCTGCATTGCTTTCCTACTGGTAGCTTTAATCTTATCTTGCTACCCAGAAACAGCTATGCCTTGAGGTATGAAATAAAAAAAACAACCATTATTTACACAATTATAACATACGAATGATATAAACATGCAGATACTGCAACTTCACGGACACATTGTCCAGTACGTCTAAAGCACAAGTCTCACCTTTCAGAACCTTCAAAATAAAAAGCAGGGAATTATACTTTTTAGCTATTCTGATGTTTTTCCAGCTGAAAGACAACATAATGAACAGCGTTTCTAAGTTTTAAGTATGCTCAGATTTTATCAGGAAAGGTTTACTAGTAGATGAGATGTTCTCATTGTGTGAAGCACCTCTTTAACAGATGGGTGGTATCTGGTGGTTAGATCTTGCTTTACTGGATACACTGTCACTACTAATGCTTAAGAGAGGAGGAAAGGGTCGTATACACAGGGGCTTGATATGCAGGAACTTTTTGTTCCTTGAAAATCATAGCTTGCAGCAACAATCACGTGAAGAATATCAGCTTGTGTCTCAAGGGCTTTACTTCTCCACATCATTAAATCAAACTCACATACAATGGATACAGCCAGATTCGTGAGTCAGAAAGCAGGAGAGAGATCTGCCCTAAAGATAGCAGAAGGTTCACGTACAAAGATGTGTGTAGGGGTAATCCATACTGTTCCTAGCCAAAAGATAATTTTTGACTGACTTCTGGTGGGCCTGATATAGTCTTTGGGCACTTTAACGCAAATCAGTGACGAGTAATGTATGTAACAGGGAAAAACAAGGGCAGTTATAACCTTTGTTAGTGGCACTCTGCATGTGACTGAAATCTGCTTTGACAGAAAAAATTAAGACAAGGAAGACAGGAGGTGAAGTATGGTAAAAGAGAGCATGTACTCCTTCACAGGGATAGTTTGAGAAATTCATCAGAGGATTTCTTTAAGTGCATTGTAATAAATAGCTTTCTAGTGTTGGCTATACACACCTTGAACAGAAAGAAATGCAAACCTGCTATCGCCAGTTTGCTGAGTGCTGCATTCGATTTGTCCAGAGTCACTCAACTGGGTGTTGTGGATGATCAGCTCCGAGGTAAACCCATTGCTACTGGTATAATTTTGAGAGGTGAAGCGGTCTGATGTTTCAACAGCTCCATGAGAATTGATGACAGTGAGGACAGGATTTCCATTGGACAGCCAAATGAGAATTAACCATCCTATCGACACGGTGCAATTAAACCGGGCTTCTGAACCAGCAAGGACCGTTACATTAGTAGGGCCATTTATAATAGAGTAACAAAAGCCAAGACCTGGAAGGAAGATAAATACTTGGTCTGCAAATACATACAAAAGGCCTTTACTTAATTTTTACTGCCAGCAATTTAGGGCTAAACCCAAGTGCCCTGGTTCAAAGAGTATTATTCACTAGGAGCACTGAGGTGTTAAGCACTTAGTCATGTACCAGTTGTTGATTCAGCTGAGCTGGCACTTCACCCCTGACAGTCATAAGTACTGATACTTTCAGGAACAGAATCTAGTCTCATTTTCTGTGATGCTTGTCAATTAGTAGCTAAAGATACCTATGGTTAATTGAAATTGCAACTAAATAATGTTAATCCCACAGCAGGAAGCAGTGGTCAAATGCTAAATTGGTACAATGGATCCCCAAGACAATCATTACAAACGCAAGAAGTACATGTTTATATAGTTTAAAAGATCTTCACCACTTCAGAGATGGAGATGTACAATCTAATCTTTCAGCTCTATCTTAGATTAAATCTTTAAAGATGCATTTGATTTTTTGTGTCTCCTCGTCTCACTCCAGAATAACCTGTCTCTCTTTAGTGGTTCACTGAAAAGCTGACTTAACATTTTGCTGAAAGGAAAAAAGTTCCATTTTTAAATAGGAAAATATATGAGTTCTCTGGACTTTAAATAAATAGAGGAGTATGTAACTCATCCCTTTTCAGGTTACCATTGACTTTTTGCAGCCCCCAGCATATATCCTTCTATGCTTTCACCTGTTCAGCTGCCTCTTCCCTTCTTTTTCGTGCATGCATCACATACACATTTATCCACCTCCTCAGCCTTTCTGTTAACCAGCCATAGTTCTCCCTCACTCTCCTCACAGCCGCTGTCGTCCCTTCACCTACCTCTAAGCTCAAGGTTTTGGTGGCAAGGGACCTCAAGAAATTGCTAGCCCAACTCTGATCCAAGCAGAGCTAACTTCACAGCTAGGTCATTTGCACTAAGACTTGGCAATTCATATTTTGAGTATCTCCAAGGATGGAGATTTCACAAGCTCCCTGCAGACCAAGCAGTCCTGCTGTTGCGATTTACCTCACCAGGGCCTCTTTTATCACTTACTGGAAAACATTAATGCCAAGGAAGCATCAGGACTGCCCTAACAATTCAGGCTGTAGTCTACATAATTACAACAATTAGATACTACAGTCCATAGCAGTCTAATTAAAACCCCGTGTTTGCAAATTTGGCCTGAGAATAAGCATTCAATTATTTTCCAGGAGAAAGAAAGTCTGAAATGGCCATTACTGCCTTGCTAAGAGTATTCAGGACAATTAAGTGGTTTTTTAAAGGTTTCGTTCAACCCACGTTTTGTACATTTTAGGTAGTTTGTTCATTAATGGATTAATTATAAATTATTGAAAAAGGAATTTTTCAGTCAGTGAGTAGCTGACGTGAGTAGGAGAGAATATGCTGTATTGTTTCAAATAGAAAACATGTTTGTGTAAATGGAACCAGAGCCCGATCTCAGTTAGAACTGTTGCAACCAGAGCATACACGAACATACCCAGGGCACAGGGTCTGTAATCTCATTGCTCCAGTGTCAATATAATTTTCTAATTCTCAACTCACATTTAATTCTAGACAGCATATATATAACGAGGTTGGTGCCAAGAATTGTTCCTTAATATAAATAGCTCCTTTCTTTCCTCCCACCCTCTGTGTGTATTTACAGACAAGAGCCTTTTCGTTCTTTGTTTTGCAGGATTATACAAACCTAGCTCTCCTTGGTTCTTTGTACGATTGACTCTGAGTTCTCTCATGTTTACAAAAACCTTTACAAAAATTTTCCACCTTCCTGGGTTATGTTACCTCCTCCATGTACTTCATTCTCCAAAGTATATCTGTGTGTGACCAAAATGAAAAGCAAACTTCACTTCCACTGATAGTTGATAAAGCCAGATAAGATACAGTAACACATATTTCTGTTCAACTTAAATGGCTCGTTTTTTCCAACAGCATTTATTTAAAACTCTTCAGACTTGTAAAGGTGAACTGAAACGCTTTAAAATGTGAAGGAGTTTGAAGATGAACTCAGCAGTCAAATCTATGTGCATACCTTAATACGTTGCTTTACAGTTAACTCAACGAAGTGCCTACAAACCATTTCCTCTCCTTTCTATTTGTCACTTTCTGAATGTAAGGGATTGGCCAAATGTCTGTGAACAGCATCATTTACAGAGCTACAGGTTTTCTAGTGAACATGCACTGATGAAATTTATTCCACTGAGACCGTTTGTCACGTACTAATGTCCCTCTTTCCTGATATTCAACACCCAGTTGTCATAATTTTTATTCAGAACTTATATTACCGGGGTTGAGACACTGTCCTAAGCTCAAACATGTTTTGAGATATCTATTTTTTCTTGACTCATATTGTAGCCAGCCTTTACAATACTGCTCCCTGTGCATCTATGATGTCTATAACACGCTCATGTGCCGAGTTTTTTGATTTTTACACTTTATTTTAAGTCTTCCTGACTGGATTAAGTGGACATAAACAGCTATCATGATGAAAGGCACAGCCATGAACAAAATTCCTTAGAGTTAACACCAAAATGCATTTAGCTGTTCATGAAACAGGAGTTGTAGTCTGTAGTACTTACCTACATAGCTTCTCTTAATACAAACTGATCTCTGCATTTGTAATTTATTTCCATGCCTGTGCAAACACTTTACTTTTTTAAGGAGTCATGTTTTTCCATGGCTATGAATAACTGATGTGACTTTCAGCACACTGCTATCTGTTAATTAAACATTTGCTATGAGATCATGTCTGTGAGTTTCATTATGGTCCTAAAATTTATCTCTAAACATGAATAATTAGTGATCATGAGCTCTAAAAATACATGGTTAATGCTGCTTTTGTCTTCTTCAGACAGTCCGGACAGTATAGACAGGTAGGTATCATTTTTTTCTTCATTTATCTAACGTAATATAATCATTATTTATGAGTCCACATGTATGGTATGATCTACACCATCTGCCACCAACCAGATCTGCTGGAGCAACAGATGTTTTTCACTGATTTCTGTGAGCTAAGGAACAGATCCTTAAGCCCTGTACAAGTGGCAGGAAGACTGAGGAATGGGACATAGCTCAACCTTGACTCCACTTAGATCTCAGTAAAGCCCCCAGCAACCAAAAAAAGTTGCTCCACGAGCCTTTTTCCATCTGCTGCCCAAACGTTTTTGATGGTTTTAACTTTGCCTCCTTATTGTTTTGCCTTAACTTTTTATCCTGCAATGGCACGTGGAGTCCTGAACCAACAGTGCGTTCCATTGTCCGGTCCGTGTACAAACACTGATAAAGTAAATTGTGTAAGGTCAAAGAGGACATTCATGACAGAAACGGGATCTAAAGCAAGTTACCAGTGCCTCAACCCGGTGCTGTTAAGTCCTTGCTTCTTGCTCTAAGCAGGTAGTTTCATTTACATGCTGCTTAAAAAATACATTTGCAGATGGTTGCTTTTAGACAAATTAAGGCCTCAGGCTAGATTGTCATTGCACTTTACAGGAATTACACATTCAGCTCCTAACAGCTGGTTTATCATCTGCTTCCCCACCCTCAACCAATGAGAAATCCCACCCAGACAAATATAATCTTTGCCACAGGGAAATGTTATGCTATCTTCATGATATTGCATTGCTCTTCGACTTCTGCAGAGCAAAGCTGAATTAAGACATCTTCTTCGAGGCACATCGCTAAATGTTTATAAAGTGGCAACCAGTGCTGAACGTTTGCCTAAAGTGGTAAGTATTTATGGTATTTCAGTTGCTGAGTCCTTCCCAACAGCATACAGAGTGGACACCAACTCCTTTATGAGCTGTTTAATCCCCTCTCTGTCACACAAATTCACTGTCACATCACTGCTGTTTTTGAAGAAATGAAAACACTTCTTGTTCTCTAGATGAGACCTGCAGTGATGGAACCTCATTTGTCAAAGGAGCACCATTGCCTTTCATCATCCATACTTAAAAAGGACCACTTTTTCACATTGAAGGTCTCAGCAACAAGGGCACTGAGACGTGGCTAAGTTATATTCCTTCCCTCCTCTCCTCATCTGATTCCGACTTTCCTCTTTTATAAGTGACCTATTTGGATGAAGCAGAGTGAGGGACAGGATGGGCTTATCCTTTTGCCGTAATTATTCCTTTTTTTTTCAGCCTCACTATCATATTTCGAAATAATCTCCCCCTCTACACCCATATCGCTCTTCTGTAAACACTGCCTTTTATTCTTCAGTTTTTGTGTCTCATCTCTGAGTTCCTCCCCTCCTTGTCTGCTATTTCGGTTTGAATTTCTACATATTTTCCTTCCAATATGTTCTAAATTCCTTTTTCTTTCCACTCTTTCTTCAGTGTCTTCCTCGCCCCACTTTACTGTCTGACTTCTCTGCCTCATTGCTGGCCCACTCCTCCAGCAGTAATTTATTCTGCAATAAATAATTCCGGATTTTCCAAGATTTCTCTGTAGCGCATCTCAAGTTTATTTCAAAAACCCACAGCCCTGCAGCTGAGCTTTTTGAAAACCAAAATAGAGCTTGCCAAAGCCTGCAGAGGACTAGTTTTTATTGCTGATGTTAACAAGAGTTGTTTAAATGCTCACAGGATGTTTCTGTTACGTAATACCAATCTACTGATACTCAGTGACATGTACTTCCGCCCACCAGCGCACAGACCTCTCCACAGCTCCCAGGAGTGTCTTCCCATCTCTTCCCTTACTCATTTTTTTTTACACTTGTCCCTTGCAGCCTCTCCAGGCTCTGCTGTCAGACTACTCCTCTCCTCCTGTCCCTTGTCTCCAGCACTGAGGGTCCCCGGGCTGGGGGTTCCCCACACCTGGCAGCAGGCTGGACCCCACACGACGTGTCAGCCCTGTACAGGTCTGCAGTGCTGTGGCTGCCCAAGGGCGATGCCATGCCCGCTCAAGCAGATTGCCCAAACCAGCTCTGCTGTGAAGCTGCTCCCAGATGCCAGCCACGCCAAGAGCAGCAACACTTTTTGAAAGAGCAGCACTCTGTCTTTTCTGCAATACACTTTTTTCCTCTCTGCTTCAGGATGTGCTCCCGTGGCTGCACTGCACAGCCTGGGCCATGCCTGCCTGTAGGGGGGACAGGAGAGCACCCCTTGGAAGGTGTGCTTGGCTAAAAGCATTAGTATTGTAGAGGGGTCGATGCTGGTCTCTTCTTACAGATAACTAGAGATAGAACAAGAGGGAATGGCTTCAAACTTCAACAGGGTAGGTTTAGACTGGACGTTAGGAAAAAAATTTCGCAGAAAGAGTAGCTACCCACTGGAAGAGGCTACCCAGGGAGGTGGTTGACTCACCGTCCCTGAATATGTTTAAAGGTCGTTTAGATGTGGTATTGAGGGTTATGGTTTAGGGGTAAGCTTTGTTGAGTAGGGTTAATGGTTGGACTCAGTGATCCCAAGGGTCTTTTCCAACCAGAATGATCCTATAATTCTATGAAGAGTAATAGAAATCCTGTGAAATGCACAGTACTCTGCTCTGGATGCTCAGGGAGACAGTGCAAGAAACAGAACAAATAAAAATGGAGGCTTCTTTGTTATAACTTCTCACTGTCCAAAGCTAAGAGATCTAGGGATTTCCTGAGCCATTGCATCTAATGTGCCCTCCGTGATATTCATTTCAGTCTATTTACAACCTGGTATTCCCCCATAACCAGTCACCCTGAGCTTTATAATTTAGTCACATACCGTGAGGAAAAGTACATTCTTTGGTTTGCCTTAAGTCACCTTTCTGATAGTTTACTGGTTGCCACTAGCTGTTTTTGTTATGAGAAATTGTGAATAACCATTTTACCATTCACCTCCACATAATTAATTAACAACTTTTCTACTATTTCTTCTTTTTCACAAACAGAAAAACATCCCAGTCTAATGAAGTCCTCCCTCCTACCTTTGATCACCTCTGTCATGCTGTATACTTTTCTCCCATCTAACATGCTCTTTTTGAAATGGAAGGGCTAACAAAACATATAAGCTGTCTGCAGATTTATACAATGCCAGGTTTCATTGTATTTCCCTAGCTGAAAACACTAAGTGGTGAAATTTTCTCTCTTTTTCAGCAATTTACTCTTTCCGAGATATGTACTCTTTTCCCCCACTAGACATCTGCAGTTAAGCAATGCTTTACATTGAATGTTTTCTATTCCTTTATTACTTACTCACTTGGCATCATGACATTTTCTGGCAAATCTTCCTAGTCTCTTTTTGGATTTATCTGCCCTAAGTAATTCTGCACCACCTGTGAAGTCTGCCACCTCACAGTTCACTCCTCTTCACTAGGTTCTGTTGAATACCACACATCCTTGTGCAATTTCTCTGGGAACACCACTCTGTTCAGAAATCCCAGCGTTTATTCCTGCATCATGTTCCCTTTCACCAATTATTTAGTCGTGACAATATCTCCTCTCTCATCCCACTGCAGCTACTTCCTTTCAGAGCCTGTTAAAACCCTAGCTAGATTATAACAAAAAAAGAAAACCATCCTTGTCTCCATTACCCAACTAGTCACTTCATATTCTCATTTTCTTTAAAGTTCTGCCGCTAAGATACCTTTTATCTGAATCAAATTTGATACTCAGGTGTGCGAAATGTAAATTGGAGGCAAACTAGCAAAGCGATAATTCGCACATATTCCTGGAAGAAAAATCAGCTGCTGAAATTGAGTTGTCTACAGATGCCCCCTCAAAAGCAGTCACAGGCAGATAGGAAGAAGACAAGCACAAGGAGTGGCAAAAGAAGTGGGATGTGCCTGCTCACTGGAAGCGAGGGAGGGCAGTCCCCCCCATCTGCTCCCCACCCCATCCACTCTTCACTCGTGCATACTGAAGCCCACTGTAATCTATTAGATCATTCAGGCTCAAAATGCAAATGTAACCATTCCAAACAGTTGAAACAATCCCTTTCTGGGACTGACTGTTCGATCAGGTATCACAAGTAACTGCCATTAACATGGCCTTAGAATTATTCCATGCATTTTGTCCCCACACCGGTTCATTTCACGGGTTACGAGTGTGTCCTACCTTTTAGCGAGGCAGTTAAGATGAGAGGAAGTAAAATGAATTTCTGGAATCTCTCCATTGGAGCATTCTCTCCTGGTTCCTAAGGCAGAAAGCCACCAGCGGTCACTGCGAACTTGAGAAGCTGAAGGACAGAACTTATCGAGAAACTCGGTAATGAGCTGTCGTTTTGCGTCCTGTGATAAAATGTGACTTTGTGTGACCTGTGTTACCAACATGAGGAGAAGATTAAATGAGAGAGGGTTTTGAAGGAGAACAGTATCTTTTCTCAAAACACCTGTTTGAAAAGTAGTAGAAGCACTTTCCTCAGCAGAGAAACCTTCGTCTATGCACCTTGCTTCTCTTGCACCCTCAATCCCTCCTGGCTATTACAACACTACTGCTTCACAATTGACTGTGTCAGGGGAGCTCCATCTGCATCATTAAAGTTAATCATGAGCAGCTGGGAAAAATAAATCTCTAAGCTGCCTACAAGTGCGTGTGTATGGTGGGTGAGCCATCTCTGCTGCCAGCAGCATCCTGGCAGACTAATGAACCCTGTGCTCCATCACTTACTCTCACGCAGGGCAACTGTGCAGGGCACCAGCCCTTCTCCTGGGGTTGGTCAGGGGCATAGATCTCCATTCAGAGGGGTTGTTACCCCACCTCAGGCAACTGATGCTTCCTATGCCCAGCAGCCTTCAGGAGAGGAAGTGGGAATGTATCCCTATGTGCAGTTACACCTTAAATTTTCGGGTTAGTTTTTTTATGTTTTTCTGTGTGCTTTACTCCAAAACTAGGATTCCTATCCATATATTTCCAGGGAGATCCTGGTGCCATCATTGCTGTGGCAGTCCTGCCAGGCCCTTGGTGCACAGGGACTACCTGCCACCCTGGAGTCTTCATCCCACTTGCCTTGGAACAAGGATGAGAAACACCAAATCTCTTCCCAGCTTCCCAGAATGAGCACTCAGAAGGGCTGCTAGTGTAAAGAGAGTCCCCAGAATAATTTCTCTGAACCTGAGAGAGTCTCTTATGCCCCAATATAAAACATCACTAGCTCTTCACTCTGGTCAGAGATAAGGTACAGAGCTTGGGTGGGAGTCATCACCTTACTTCTGCATTTTCTGCTTTTCCAGTGTTTGTGATGCACTTGTGTGATATTATTCTCCTACCTCTCAAAATATGTGGGATAGAGTTTGACTGTGCTGCTTGGTTTACAAACTTCTCAGCTGAGAAGCTGAAATTTGCCTTCATGAAAGGGATGTGGGCCAAGGGATGTGGTTTTGTGGCCAGCCCAAATTTCTTTTCAGGAAAGTGCTTTCAATTTTGGGAGTATTCTTTGTGGCAGCTCTGTGCGATGCATAAGCACTAATACCACCAAAGAGACACCCTGAGTTTCCTGTAACAACCATACTGTTTTTAAAAGCCCTTTCACTAAAACCAAAACCGCACCAAGGCACAAAAGAGCCAGCCCAGCTGTTTTGCTGCCCCTAAGTAAGCAGTTTATTTCACAGCTCCATGTGAAGATCCTGCCTGTATTCCCAGCAAGGCTTTGATGAAAGCAATGGTGGTGAGATGGCATAGGGGTGGATGGCAATGCCTCTGTGGGAGGAGTGGGAGAAAAGCCCTGTGCCCAGAACTTCTGTGCCAGATGCACCACTGCAACAATCAAAAACCATGTCTGCTGTCTTTCCAAACATGTTCAGCCGCAGCATCAAGCTATACTGGAGCTCTGTTCGCTGCTTGGCGCTTTAAGCAGGGGGGTCTTGCTGAGTTTACTGCAGCAGGTGTGACCTGAGCCACTCAGCTGACAGCTTGCTCTGTATTTTCTCATTTTGCAAGCTCTCAGTTTACCTCACGAACTTAAGGGATAGCCCTGTCAGCTAACCAGCATTTTAAGCTGAACCTGTAGGCTGATTTCTTCACCTGAATGTTGGAAGGGGGGACTAGTTTGTAGGCTGGTTTGGGTTCACCCAGCGCATTTTGGAAGGTTTATTTTTTTTCTCACTTCCACTTTTCATGTGTAGAGGAGTCTCCCAGGGAGCAGCTGGGGCAGGAGGGTCACCATGCACAGCTCAGAGGGAGTTCTCCTTGCTCTGTCACTGTGACAGCTCTCAGCATATACACAAACCAGTCAGTACTTTTTTAAGAGCATTATCTATCATATGAAGCGAAAACGCCCAGGTAAAGCACGAGGAAACAAATCCAAAAGTCAGTGCTGTGTCCTTTTCCGGGCAGGCTCTACAGGTCTGCAAAGGACTCCCCTAGCCTGGGCAGCAGCCTTCATACCTGCACTTACAAATCTGGCTGCACCAATGCAAGCTGAGCCGAGCAAAGTTTCGCAGAGAAGAATAAACTTTCTACAATCTTATGCCAAAATCAACAAACAATTTGAGGAGCCATAAAGTAAGGAGAGAAATGAAGGGATCTACGATGTTTTGTTTTGCTTCGTTTCAAAATGGACTTTCAAAGGGACAGGAAATATTACCCGACCTACATATGAAACACGATATTTTGGCTGATGATGGATTAAACACCCGGGTTTTGGCCTGAGCTGCTTTTCACCTTCTCCGCAGGTGCGTGGGGAAACTCACATTGCTACCTCTGCCTTGCAGGGCTCTGAGGCTACTCTCCTTCCTCATCCATGCCAGAGGCAAGGGGATAATACTGATAATATTGCCCTAAAGCAGCAGCAGCTCGGTCCAGGCTGGCACAGAGCAAGGCTCACTTGCTTTGAGCACCCAGCAACGAGGGGGACACCCACCCCAAAGGCTGGGGAGAGGAGCAGGAGATGTGAGGGTGTCACAAAACACCCCTGCTCACCCCAGAGGCTCAGTTCTGGCTTTCCTGCTGTAGCAGGAGCAGGAGAGAGGGTTAAATTATCTTTCAGCCGCCAGCTCCTTCTGCTGGGAAGCTATTAATGGCTCCGGAGGGATTACCTGGATTGCTTTCTTGGGTGCCGAGAGTATGTTTCCTTTTCCTTTGATGATGAAACCCAGGCGGGTAACGAAGGAGGAGGCCAGAGTCTTTCGAAGCCAGGAGCCCCAGGCCAGCCCTCTCCTCCTCACCCTGGGGAAACCTCCCCCAGGACGGACCTCAGACACTTCTCAGCCACTGGTTCCTGGGACAGGCCCCTGCCCTGACATTTTTCCTGTGATGTGGTGAGGTAACGGTAGCCTCTCCCCTTCCCCCCGCCCAAATACGTGTATCGCCGTGTTAATATTTAACCAGTCCTGCAGGAGGAAGTAAGGCACAGCCGATCACACACACACACACACACACACAGGAGCAAACTTCATGCAGTCCCAACCCGACAAGCTGGACGGGTGCCACCACCTGACATCTCGGCAGAGGACGGCCGTGCCGCGGTACATGACGCAATGCACAGCTGGAGGGTCGGGATTTATTTTCCCCAGTTTACAACCTCATGGGTGAGTGCATGAGTGCCTGCACTGAGGCTGGAGTTCAGCCCACCATTGCAGAGCTTCAGGCAACGTGGCAGCGAGCTGAAGTGCCTGCCTGCAGGCTCCACACCAGCTGTGCCCTCACCAACGGGTGCCGTCACCCACAGCCGAGGGTGTGGGGACCCCTCAGCAGCCCCTGATGGGGTGACAGGGTGCGCCGGAGCCGGGAAACAACCAGAGGGTCCAGTCAGGAACTGCAGGAGATGGGGCTGGGGACAGGGCTGGAGACAAGGCCACAACATGGCACCAAGGGCCCAGCCAGGGAACGGGGCCAGACATGGGGATGTGGTGGGCTGTGGTACCACAGGGCATGGTCTGATAGCCCCGGAGGGGAAGGACAAAGGAGAAGGCTGGAGACTTTTGAAGTGAGGAGCCCCAGGCCATGGGGTGCCCTGGGCTGTGGGCAGGGTGGGGGGAGACCCACGGGGCTGTGGAGGGTCAGGCCTGCCAGTGCCCTCAGGCCCCCAGCAAAATGGAGGCTTCTGTGATGTGCAACTTTATAAACACTGGGGAAACTGAATCAGTTTTCTATCTCTTAATGAAAAATACAGGCCTCGAGCGATTTTTATTCAATTTTCCTTTTTTTTATTTTTATATTCCTCTCCTCTTATCAGTTTTTATTTTTTGTTGTTCTACATCAAGGATATGTTCCTTAAAACATTTTATTTAATTCTGAAATAATCTGTGATTGTTTGCTCAGTTAAATCACACTTTTCCCTGCTTTGACAGTCATCTGTGGTCACCAAAGCTGCTGTGCTGCCTCATGACAGGTGCTCTTTCAATGGCTGCAGCCTTATTCTTCCTCTAAGAGCTCAACTGCATCCTTCACATTACACTGTCGTTAGCCAGTGAGTTGAACTGATGTGATACATCAGGAGATTTTTATGTCCATGGGCTGCGAAGCTTATATTGTAAAGAAGGGACATAGGACTTCCCAGAGGTATATTTCCTACTAAGCACAGTAACAGGTCTATCAGGGAGAAATCAATGCTACACTAACTCAAAATAAATGAAGAAGTTCAGTTCAGCAAAGGGAAAAGAAACAGTCTGTAGAAATTTGATAAATTTCAGAAATTGAATTTCAAAAACTCTGCTTTATTAAAAAAAAAATCACCTTGACCTGTCAAAAAAATTTTAAAAACTATGAAACCTGAAGGAAGTTTTTTGACCTGTTATAATTTTTTTTTGCTTCCTTGCTTTTCCAAACATCTCTTTCTATTGTCTAAAAACCCACACTCTTGTTCAATTAACAGCCCTACTTTCATAACATTATTCTTAGAAAAACCTTCTATATATACTTTGATTTCCATTCAAATAAAGGTAAAGAAAAGGAAAAACATCTAAGAAGCAGATTAAATCTCTGATTGTCCAAGTAGGAAAATTGCAGAAAGTTAAAATGAATTGTCTGGATTTCCAGCTTCATTTAATAAAGATAACTCTTTGTAAAAGCGCTTTGGAAAGGTGATAATAGCTGCTTTTAAAACTCTTAAAAAACTACCATTTGGCAACACCAAGACTTACCCTGTCATCTTTGCAATTGCTCTTCAGGTAGATTCAAGCTGTTATTAGATCACCCCTTTGCCTCTTTGCTGCTCGTCTAAAGCCTTCCTCCCTC